TGGGGTACTATTTGTCCCACTGACACCAATGATGAGGCACTATTCCTCCCACTGACACCAACATTGGGGTACTATTCCTCCCACTAATTACCAATGATGGGGTACTTTTCCTCCCACTGACACCAATGATGGGACACTATTCCCCCCACTGACACCAATGATGGGGCACTATTCCTCCCACTGATACCAATGATGGGGCACTATTCCTCCCCACTAATTCCAATAATGGGGTACTATTCCTTCCCACTGACACCAGTAATGGGGTACTATTCCTCCCATTGACACGAACAATGTGGTACTATTGCTCCCACTGACACCAATGAAGGGGCACTATTCCTCCCACTGACACCAATGATGAGGCACATTTCCTCTCACTGATACCAATGATGGGGTACTATTCCTCCTACTGACATCAACATTGGGGGACTATTCCTCCCATTATTACCAATAATGGGGTACTATTCCTCCCACTGACACCAATGATGGGGTTCTATTCTTCCCACTGACACCAATGATGGGGCGCTATTCCTCCCACTGACACCAATGATGGGGTACTATTCCTCCCACTGACACCAATGATGGGGTATTGTTTACTCCCACTGACCCCAAGACACTTTCTACTCCCACTGGCCGCAGTTTAGCCCACCAAAGGTCTGGAGGACAGTGAACTGGCTCTTGGTTTAGAACATTTGGAGACCCCTTCCCTAGAGGCCTAGACAAAAATGAGTATTTAAAGTCCAACTGCAGCCCCAACTTTTTCTTCTAGTTTTGTATAGGGTGTCAGTGTCACCATTAGAAAGATTAACCAGCTCTACTTGTCCTGGTCACAGAGTGAAAGTGAAAACAAACAAATATCCCACATTTTTCATTGTCACCAGAACAGGAACTGAAAGGAAATCTTGCAATGGGGAGACTGGTTCTGGGAACCAGGAAATTCCTTCACCTCCTGTGGTGTCAATGGGACAGGATGTGAAGTAACATCTCCCCAATGGGACGCAGATGGCAATAAAAAGCTGATTAAAAAAAAATATTGTATTTAGATCTACTTTAACCCTTTCTGTGCTGCGGTAGCCTCACTTGTCAAGAGCAGGGGCGGACTGACAACTCATGGGGCCCCCGGGCAATAGGGGATCATGGGGCCCCTGTGTCCTTGCCCAAACTCAAGAAAGCCTATGAAAAAGGTACCAGGGTCATCTCATGGGGCCCCCTACTGACCCCGGGCCCTCGGGCAGTGGCAGAGTTTCCAAATGGTCCCCTGGTCAAGAGTAGTTTTTGAATTCTTCCCGTCGTTCAGCTTTGGGAAGAAATGACACCGAGGACAGCTTGTATGAATTTATTTATGTCATCGGAGGTGCTTTAAGTGCCTTTTGCTGTTTTTTTGTTACCGACAAATAGCGGGTGATTGTTGTAACATTTTGTGTCCCTATAAGTGATGTAATTGCACAGATATTGCTTGTTTTCTGTGACATCCATCCAGCTGAACGTCTTGCTGAAGTTCCCCCCCCCCCCCCCCCCCCGACTCTATTTATAGGAAAATAAAAGTAAGCTCCGTAAAAGGGAACAAAAAACCAGCAAATGACTGATTTATCGAGGTGGGCCCATCCCCCGAAGCCCATCATACCGTCCCTGGAAGGAAGAGCGCGTGATCTCCCTTTATCTCCGCATTCTTCCTAAAACCATGTGATGTGCCGCAGCATTAGTATTTTATCTTGCTGTAGCTTAGCATAAGCAAAAAAAAAAAAAAAAAAGGAAAATCATTCTTTATGTAATAAACAGACCCATAACTGTAGACAGTCTGTGCAAAGTAAAACAGATCATTATCTGCTGACACGGTGGATTTGTGCCACCAATTTGGATATATTATTCATTAGCTAGCTGCCTATATGCTATATAAATTAATTCTGCTTCTATAATTTATGCCTATAGGCTGTGGATGTACTTTGCTGCCACCTAGCATCTGACAGTAGGCACTACATGTACAAACGTTTCGCGACCTGGCCGCTGGTCACTACCAGGGGTGGACTGACAACTCATGGGGCCCCCGGGCAATAGGGGATCATGGGGCCCCTGAGTCCTTGCCCAAACTCAAAAAAGCCTATGAAAAAGGTACCAGGGGCATCTCATGGGGCCCCCTACTGACTCCGAGTTTCCAAATGGTCAGTCCGCCCCTGGTCACTACATGTAGAAACGTTTTGGGACGTGGCCGCTGGTCACTACATGTAGAAATGTTTCAGGACGTGGCCGCTGGTCACTACATGTAGAAACGTTTCGGGACGTGGCCGCTGGTCACTACATGTAGAAACGTTTTGGGACGTGGCCGCAGGGTCACTACATGTAGAAACGTTTCGGGACGTGGCCGCTGGTCACTACATGTAGAAACGTTTCGGGACGTGGCCGCTGGTCACTACATGTAGAAACGTTTTGGGGACGTGGCCGCTGGTCACTACATGTAGAAACGTTTTGGGACGTGGCCGCTGGTCACTACATGTAGAAACGTTTTGGGACGTGGCCGCTGGTCACTATATGTAGAAACGTTTTGGGATGTGGCCGCTGCGTCCTTATGCCTATGGGCTATGGATGTTTTGGGACGTGGCCGCTAGCTGGTCACTACATGTAGAAACGTTTTGGGACGTGGCCGCTGGTCACTACATGTAGAAACGTTTTGGGACGTGGCCACTGCATGCGCTCAGAAGCAAACAGTGGACAAATATAACGCATTGCGCCCTTTTTTATGCCTATGGGCTATGGATGTGCTTTGCTGCCACCTAGCATCTAAAAGTTTCGTACCGCTACACATGTAGAAACGTTTTGGGACGTGGGCCGCAGGTCACTACATGTAGAAACATTTTGGGACGTGGCCGCTGGCGTGCTGGCAGCTGCGGCCATGAGCTTTGTATTACTTTTTTTAAGCCAAGGATCGCCAGTTTTGTAAAAGTGATCTAGGTGGCTCTACAGCTGCTTGATCACTTTTTACAGTGCTGGGAAGGGCAAGCCTTGTTCCCCGGTCCCTGATTACTGCCTGCAAGTAATAAAGCCGGAACTGCTGATGATTTTGTCACTTCTGGCTTCGGAGCTGTCATTCCCTGGCTACTGTAGCTGAAATTGCAGCTAATCAAGCAAGATCTGTGCTTGATTAGCTTCACTGGAGGGCAGGGGACATTGGGGGTCTAATCGACCCTGATGTCTCCATAGAGTGGACCTGTCATCTGCCCATGCTATAACAAACCTCCCAACTTTTCGAGATGGGAACAAGGGACACCTATTAGCAAATGTATGTAGGCATAGGACACACCCCCTGCCACGCCCCCCTTAAAGGCGAATTCTACAAAAAAAAAAAAGATTAGTTAAACCCACAAATGCTTTTTTTTAACCACTACTATTCCTTTATACTGGCTTTTGAAGTCTACAAATGCAACAATTTAGAAATTGGATGAAAGGTTTAGCACCGTGACTCACTTTTTGAAAGATACATTTGTGCGTTTTATATAAAACTATATAGATCAGACCAAAATGAGGGACAAATGAGGAGGAAAGAGGGACAGAGGGACTTTGTTCCAAATCAGGGACAGTCCCTCGAAGTCAGGGACAGTTGGGAAATATGCTATAACATCCCCCGCAACATATAAAGCCATTTATAACTCTTTGAAGAACGATCCATGTGTATGCCCTTATGGAGAAAATGATTGATTATTCCCATCAAAAGGAATAGTCCGCAGTCGACAGCACATTTGATCGATATGTCAGACACGGGGAAGCAGATGGCGATCGATCGTTAATATTTGAGCTTAATTTATGATTGTAAGTTATCGATCCCCATGTGTAATCTCATCATCTGATTTCTGAACCTGAACCTGAGTTCTGCCAACTGATGGAAAGCGATCAATAACTCCGCCCCCAAATTACATCACCGATCTTGTCTCCAAATATCACCCTAACCATCTTCCCACGACCTCCTGCTCTCTAGCTCCCTTGTCTGCTCCTCCCATGCTCGTCTCCAGGAGTTCTCCAGAGCCTCCCCCATCCTCTGGAACTCTCTACCCCAATCAGTCCGATGATCGCCTACTCTGCCCACTTTTCGGCGATCTATGAAAGCGATCAATAACTCTGCCCCCAAACTACATCACCAATCTTGTTTCCAAATATCACTTTAACCATCATCCCACGACCTCCTGCTCTCTAGCTCCCTTGTCTGCTCCTCCCATGCTCTTCTCCAGGAGTTCTCCAGAGCCTCCCCCATCCTCTGGAACTCTCTACCCCAATCTGTCCGACGATCGCCTACTTTCCCAACTTTTCGGCGTTCTACAAAAGCGATCAATAACTCTGCCCCCAAACTGCATCACAAATCTTGTCTCGAAAAATCACCCAAACTGTACTCTCTGCTCCTCGCACAACCTCCTGCTCTCTAGCTCCCCTGTCTCCTCCTTACATGCTGGTCTCCAGGACTTCTCCAGAGCCTCCCCCATCCTCTGGAACTCTCTACCCCAATCTATCAGACTATCACCTACTCTGCCCACTTTTAGGCGATCTCTGAAAACCTATCTCTTCAGTGAAGCCTATCCTGCCCTCAGCTAATAATGGAATCTTCTACTCTTCCAACCAGTCCATCCCCCACAGTTACTACCTTTTGTAACACCAGCCCCTCCCTCTTAGATTGTCAGCTCCCAGGATCAGGGCCCTCCTAACCCTCTTGTCTTGAACTGTATTTTTGCTGTATTGTCTCCCTTTATATTGTAAAGCGCTGAGCAAACTGTTGTTGCTATATAAATCCTGTATAATAATAATAGTTACATAGTTAGTCTGGCTGAAAAAAGACAAAAGTCCATCCAGTTCAACCATAGAAAAAAAAAAAAAAAATAATAATAATAATAACATGTGGGGCTTTTTAGCCCCCTTGCGATAGCAAAAAAAAAAAGTTTTAAAAAAGTGTGAAAAAAAATGAAATGCTTATAAAATAAATTTTTAAAAAAATTAAAAAATATTAAAACACAAATTCTGCTTACAGTTAAAATCGTCGGAGTGACAAAAGCCCAGCAAATCTTCCAGAAGCGATTCGGCTGAAATCCGATCATCATCTCAATGTCTTCACAGAATCTCTGCAGACCTGAATTAACAAAGTAGCAACACAAAGAAACAAGCGTTGAAAAGTTCCGACTTCACAGGGCTGCACATACATACAGGGTCATTGTAACAACATTAATATTAATAAGGCGAGGGCACTGAATTCGGGAAAGGAACAGCAAGTTCCACTTCTCAAGTCTGCAGGAGGACAGAAAGTCACCAAGAGTAGAACAAAGCTGATCAGTCTAAAACAAAAGAGGCAAGAGTGCCACCTATTGACCGGAATAGAGAAGACGGCTTCATTGGCAGCCTAGCATGGGGGTTCTCGGCCTTTCTGATACAAGAACCAATCACAATTCTTCCAAAACCTTCAATGACCAAACAGTACAATAAAAAGGTTAATAAAACACAATAAAAGTATGAAGTGTGGGGTGCAAAAGATATATTGAAATGCTTGAAGGCTCTGGATGTGGCACTGTGGGGGGGATGCAGAGAGTTTTGTGACTCTGCAGCAGACTTGGTGGCTTTGTAGGGGATTCTGGAAGCAGCTAGGAGCAATTGTGGGGGACTGGGACTTGGGAGGGGCTGTGAGTCTCTCCAGGTGACTGGGGGGGGCACTGCGGGACACTGTTCAAAGTTAGGCGCACTAAGGGGGCTGGAGGCTCTGCAGCAAGCTAGGTGGCCCTGTGAGGAGCCAAACAGCACAGTGGCTAAATGGTTAGCACCTCCAGCTGGCAGTACTGGGGTCATTGGTTTGAATCCCAGTCATGGCACCTCCTGCCTGGAGTTTGCATGTTCTCCATGTGCCTGCGTGGTTTTCCTCTGGGTAATCTGGTTTCCTCCCACACTCCAAAGACATGCTGGTAGGTTAATTGGATCCTGTCTAAATTGGCCCTTGTATATGAATGTGAGTTAGGGACCTTAGATTGTACACCCCTTGAGGGTTAGGGACTGATGTGAATGTACAATATGTATGTAAAGCGTTGCGTAAATTGACGGTGCTATATAAGTACCTGAAATAAATAAATAAACAATAAAGGGTTGGAAGTGCTGTGGGACCCTAGAGCAAATTTGGGAGCTTGAAGGGTACAGTGGGTCATGGTGGGAGGTTCAGGGTCACTATGAAAGCTGGTTGACACTGTGAGAGGTTAGGGGATCAACAGCAGGTTGGAGACCCAAGAGGAGGGATGCCACAGCCCAGGAGTGGGACATAGCCAAGGGGCTTGAGAACCACTGGTCTAGAGTGTCATTGAAAGGTTATTTAATGTACCTTTTTTCTTTGCTCAGGTAGGCTCCATATAACTGGTCGGGGGAGCTCTTTTTTGTTTGGGCTTGGGCTTAGGGCTCTCTGGGGGCCTGGGGGGAAATGTGGGAGGGTGAGGGGTACAGTGGGCCATGATGGGAGGTTACGGGATCAACAGCTGGATAGAAACATACTACAAGGGATGCCACAGCCTGGCAGTGTACTATGGTCAAATGGGTGGAGAATCACCGGTCTAGAGTACCATTCAAAAGCAGTTTTATTTACCTTTACCTGGTAGACTCCATACAACAGGTCCCCCCAAAAGCCACCTCTTTTTTTTGTCATCACGTACAATGCAGGACTGGAGGGGGGCTGAAGGGTCTGCAGCAAGCTAGGGGGGCACTGCAGGGAGCTGGGAGGCACTGTTGGGGCTAATGGCTCTTGGGGGGCCTGAGGGCACAATGGGAGGTTGATAGGTGTGGTGGACCACTATGGAAGGTTCGGTGGCACTATGAGATCTGGGAGGCTCTATGGAGGGTTGTAGGGTACTATGAGAGCTAGGAAGCACTATGAGAACTAGGAGGCACTATGGAAGATTGGGGGGCACTATGAGAGCTGGGAGGTACTATGGAAGGTTGGGGGGACACTATGAGAGGTAGGAGGCACTATGGAAGATTGGGGGGGGTCACTATGAGAGCTGAGAGGCACTATGGAGGGTTGGAGGGCACTATGAGAGCTGGGAAGCACTATGGAAGGTTGGGGGACACTATGAAAACTAGGAGGCACTATGGAAGATTGGAGAGCACTACGAGAGCTGGTAGGTACTATGTAAGGTTGGGTGACACTATGAGAGGTAGGAGGCACTATGGAAGATTGGGGGGACACTATGAGAGCTACGAGGCACCATGAAACGTTGGGGGGCACTATGAGAGCTGGGAGGCACTATAGAAGGTTGGGGGGGGGCACTATGAGAGCTGGGAGGTACTATGAAAGATTGGGGGGCACTATGAAAGCTGGGAGGCACTATGGAAGGTTGGGGGGCACTATGAGAGCTGAGAAGCACTATGGAAGGTTGGGGGAAACCATGAGAGCTAAGAGGCACTATGGAAGGTTGGGTGGCACTATGAAAGCTGGGAGGCACTATGGAGGGTTGGAGGGCACTATGAGAGCTGGGAAGCTCTATGGAAGGTTGGGGGACACTATGAGAGCTGGGAGGCACTATGGAGGTTGTAGGGCACTATGTGAGCTGGAAGGCACTATGGAAGGTTGGGGGCAACCATGAGAGCTAAGAGGCACCATGAAAGGTTGGGGGCACTATGAGAGCTGGGAGGCACTATGGAGGGTTGGAGGACACTATGAGAGCTGGGAAGCTCTATGGAAGGTTGGGGGAAACCATGAGAGCTAAGAGGCACTATGGAAGGTTGGGTGGCACTATGAAAGCTGGGAGGCACTATGGAGGGTTGGAGGGCACTATGAGAGCTGGGAAGCTCTATGGAAGGTTGGGGGGGGGGCACTATGAGAGCTGGGAGGTACTATGAAAGATTGGGGGGCACTATGAAAGCTGGGAGGCACTATGGAAGGTTGGGGGGCACTATGAGAGCTGAGAAGCACTATGGAAGGTTGGGGGAAACCATGAGAGCTAAGAGGCACTATGGAAGGTTGGGTGGCACTATGAAAGCTGGGAGGCACTATGGAGGGTTGGAGGGCACTATGAGAGCTGGGAAGCTCTATGGAAGGTTGGGGGACACTATGAGAGCTGGGAGGCACTATGGAGGTTGTAGGGCACTATGTGAGCTGGAAGGCACTATGGAAGGTTGGGGGCAACCATGAGAGCTAAGAGGCACCATGAAAGGTTGGGGGGCACTATGAGAGCTGGGAGGCACTATGGAGGGTTGGAGGACACTATGAGAGCTGGGAAGCTCTATGGAAGGTTGGGGGACACTATGAGAGCTGGGAGGCACTATGGAAGGTTGTAGGGCACTATGAGAACTGGGAGGCACTATAGAAGGTTGGGGGCAACCATGAGAGCTAAGAGGCACCATGAAAGGTTGGGGGCACTATGAGAGGTGGGAGGCACTATGGAAGGTTGGGAGCACTATGAGACCTGGGAGGCACTATGGAAGGTTGGGGGCACTATGAGACCTGGGAGGCACTATGGAAGGTTGTGGGGCACTATGAGAGCTGGGAGGCACTATGGAAAGTTGGGGGCAACCATGAGAGCTAAGAGGCACCATGAAAGGTTGAGGGCACTATGAGAGCTGGGGGGCACCGTGAGAGGTTAGAGATGGTTGAAGGCCCAAGAAAAGAGAGGCATGGTCCGGCAGTGGGTCACGGCCCAGTGGTTGGGAACCACTGGCCTAATATATATACAGTAGGAGGTTATCTTTGTCCAATAACAATACAGCTGAATGATCTCAGAGTGGATTCACATTCCAAATATACAGCTTTGCATGTTATTATTGTATACATATTCTTAGGGGTTTTTTTCCCCATCAGCTGACCTTTGTGCAAACCTCCCCTTCTAATTAGTGAGAAAAAGAAACTATCTGCAGGTCTCACTTTCATTACAGAGGTTTGGAATATCTCTGGATGTCTCTGTGATATTTGGCTTTACCTGTACTACAGCTCAGCTGTTCTGGATGTATAGTTGACCAAATGAGCAAACAAAATGATTTGCATGGTCCCACCCACTATTCTAAAATTACATATAAACCTCTTATTTTTGGGCTCTGTGACGGAAGTGAGTCCATCAAAAGAGAAGAATGGTCAAATCTTTTTTTGGTAATACTTCTCTTCCGGCTCATAGGAGTGCACTTACTTTTGCACTCCCGTGGCCCAGGAAACCCGCTGCCAGGTGACATCACAGAGCCACTTCAGGCATTGGAAGGATCCCGACAATAATGTAGGGATCCACCCAGATGCCTGATTGGCAGCAGGCTCAGCCTCTCAGCATGCCGCTGTGAGCCTAAGCTAGTTTGTAGGCAGGTGCCGGTTTGGTGCACTGCTGTTTTAGTTTTCGTGCCGACCAGGTGGGGAATGGTAAATTCTGGGTCTGCCAGTTTCCTGGGCTTTTTGGGTTCTGCCCTCCAGCCTGTGCAGCCTATGAATCGGGAGAAGGCTGGGCTCGGAGAGCAAGCATGAAAAGAGAAGAAGGTCCAGTCCAGAGAAAGATGTAGCCCAGAGCAACCTTGAACTGGTGGGATTGAATAGCAGCCAGACAGCGAGGAGCAGTGCCAGGCTCGGGTGACAGGTACTCCGATAGCGAGGGGGGTTGGTGTTCCGGCTCGCTCCCTGGTGGTCAGTTCCCCCCAAAAACAACTGTGAACCTGCAGTATGGGGACCCAATGTATGCAGCTGCATGGTACAGGAGAGCAATGGGCAGACTGACAACTCATGGGGCCCCCGAGCAATAGGGGATCATGGGGCCCCTGTGTCCTCGCCCACACTCAAACCACACCCAAAATAAGCCCATGAAAGGTACCAGGGGCATCTCATGGGGCCCCCTACTGACTCCGGGCCCTAGGGCAGTGCCCGAGTACCCAAATGGTCAGTCCGTCCCTGCAGGAGAGAGAAGGAGTTAAATAAGTGCATGCATGAGGTCTGTCCTATGAGCACGGCAGGACCCCATTCTGTCCCTGGGAGAGAGGTAGCAGAGATATGCTGCACTGGTGGAGAGGGTGTAGGCTCAGCGGTGTCCCTCCGAAATGGAATTTACATCTAAAGGTGTGTAGTGGCTCAGGACGGAACGTTTCACAGAGGAGTTCTGTATGTTACATTACTGCACACCCTGAACAGCTCAT